TGACCAGAAAAAGGTGGAGCAGCGATATCAAAGATATCTCCACGGTGAGGAAAGCGGCAAGTTCACGATCACAGGGTCGAACGGGAGGCCCACGCGGCCCCTCAGAGCAGATTTCGACAACATGCTGCTCCTGAGGGCCACAAGGGCGAAGGCTTCGACCAAAGGCATCAGGATACGCAGAGTGTAATTGCGCTGCGTGAGAGAGGAGTTTACATGCTCCCCCCCTGTGGTGTCGAGGAAATGCCACGCTTGCCACGCTTTGCGAGCCCGAAACGGATAGCGTCCCCACCCACAGCTTCCCCCTGTGGTGTCGGGGAAGCGCCGCGCCTGCAACGCCCTGGGCCCCCCAGTGGTGCAGAGAAAATGCAGCGCCTGCCACGCTCTGCGAGCGTGTCGAGCTGAGCTGAGCCGAGCTGTGCTGTGCTGAGCCGTGCTGGGCTGTGCTGAGCTGTGCTGAGCCGAGCTGTGTGCTGTGCTGAGCTGGGCTGTGCTGCGCTGTGTTGTGTGCTGAGCTGAGCTGAGCTGCGTGCTGTGCTGAGCTGAGCTGTGCTGTGCTGTGCTGTGATGTGCTGTGCTGTACGAAGAATGAGGTCTGTGTGTGTGTCGCGGGCGCGGCGCGGCAGGAAAGAAAACCAAAACCCCACGAAGCATGTGGGGAAATAGCGCCCCCACCCACAGTTCCCCCCCTGTGGTGTCGAGGAAGTGCCGCGTCTGCCACGCTTTGCGAGCCCGAAGCGGATAGCGTCCCCACCCGCAGCTCCCTTCCTGTGGTGTCGAGGAAGTGCCACGCCTGCCACGCTTTGCGAGCCCGAAACGGATAACGCACCCACCCGCAGCTCCCCCCCCCTCTGGTGTCGAGGAAGTGCCACGCCAGCCCGAAACGGATAGCGCCCCCACCCACAGCTCCCTCCCCGTGGTGTCGAGGAAGTGCCACGCCTGCCACGCTTTGCGAGCCCGAAACGGATAGCGCCCCCACCCACAGCTCCTCCCCTGTGGAGTCGAGGAAGTGCCACGCTGGCCACGCTTTGCGAGCCCGAAACGGATAGCGCCCCCACCCACAGCTCCCCCCCCCCCCATGTATCGAGGGAGTGCCACGCCTGCCACGCTTTGCGAGCCCGAAACGGATAGCGCCCCACCCACAGCTCCCCCCCTGTGGTGTCGAGGAAGTGCCACGCCTGCCACGCTTTGCGAGCCCGAAACGGATACGCCCCCACCCACAGCTCCCCCCTGTGGTGTCGAGGAAGTGCCACGCCTGCCACGCTTTGCGAGCCCGAAACGGATAGCGTCCCCACCCACAGCTCCCCCCCTGTGGTGTCGAGGAAGTGCCACGCCTGCCACGCTTTGCGAGCCCGAAACGGATAGCGTCCCCACCCACAGCTCCGGTGTCGAAGAAGTGCCACGCCTGCCACGCTTTTGCGAGCCCGAAACGGATAGCGTCCCCACCCACAGCTCCCCCCCTGTGGAGTCGAGGAAGTGCCACGCCTGCCACGCTTTGCGAGCCCGAAACGGATAGCGTCCCCACCCACAGCTCTCCCCCTGTGGTGTCGTGGAAGTGCCACGCCCGCCACGCTTTGCGAGCCCGAAACGGATAGCGTCCCGTCGAAACAGCGTCCCGACCCACAGCCATCCCCCTGTGGTGTCGAGGAAGTGCCACGCCTGCCACGCTTTGCGAGCCCGAAACGGATAGCGTCCCCACCCACAGCTCCCCCCCCTGTGGAGTCGAGGAAGTGCCACGCCTGCCACGTTTTGCGAGCCCGAAACGGATAGCGTCCCCACCCACAGCTCCCCCCTGTGGTGTCGAGGAAGTGCCACGCCTGCCACGCTTTGCGAGCCCGAAGCGGATAGCGTCCCTACCCACAGCTCCCCCCCCTGTGGTGTCGAGGAAGTGCCACGCCTGCAACGCGTTGGGCCCCCAGCGGTGCCGAGAAAATGCAGCGCCTGCCACGCTCTGCGAGCGTGTCAAGCTGAGCTGAGCCGAGCTGTGCTGTGCAGTGCTGAGCCGAGCCGAGGTGTGCTGAGCTGTGCTGAGATGAGCCGAGCTGTGCTGTGCTGAGCTGAGCTGAGCTGAGCTGAGCTGTGCTGTGCTGCGCTGTGCTGTGTGCTGAGCTGAGCTGAGCTGTGTGCTGTGCTGAGCTGAACCGGTGGAACTCCCTACGGGCCCTATGGGGCCTCGGAACACATGAAGGGTGTGCCGTAATTTTGGTGGGGGGCCGGAATGTGGACGCTCCCACTGGTGCCCTCGGTGGAGTTTTTTGTGGGGGCACGAAACTCAAGGAAGTGCATAAAGTGGCAGGGAGACCCATGTGAGCCCTGCCACTGGGGCCGTCGGTCAAGCTCCATATGGGGCCACGAAGCGCTGTACTGGGAAGGGGGACGCTTATAAACCCTGCCACTAGGGCCTTCGGGGGAGCTCATGTAAACCCTGCCACTGGCACATCCGGTGGGGCTCCTGGGGCCACGGCGCGCTGTACCGGGCGCGGAGACATCAGAGGACTCTGCCACTGGGGCCTCCGGTGGAGCCCCGTATGGGACCACGAAGCACCGTACTGGGTGGGGGACACGCATGTAAACCCTGCCACTGGCGCCTTCGGTGGGTCTCTCTATGGGGCCACGAAGATCTGCACTGGGTGCAAAGACGCATGTGGCCTCAACCACTGGGGCCTTCAGTGGAGATAGTGATTGGGCCACGAAGCGCTGTACTGGGCGGGGGAGACGCATGTGAACCCTGCCATGCGGGCCTTCGGTGGGAATCCTTTCGGGGGCACGAAGCGCTGTACAAAGCTGGGGGGACGTGTGTACACCCTGTCGCTGGGGCCGTCGGTGGGGGGTCCCCAAAGAGCGCTGTACTGCGCGGGGGAGACGGCACTGGTCCATTGAGTGGAGATCCTTATGGAGCCACGAAGCATTGTACTGTGTGGGGGACACGTACATAAACCCTGCCACTGGCGCCTTCGGTGGGGCTCCCTCTGGGGCCGCGACGCGCTGCACTGGCTGCGGAGACGCATGTGGACTCTGCCGCTGAGGCGGTGGAGATATCTATGGGGCCACGATGCGCTGAACTGGGTGTGGGGGACGCGTGTCAACCATGCCACTGGGGCCTTCGGTGGGGCTCCATCCTGGGCCACGAGGTGCTGCACTGGGGGGGGGAGACGCGTGTGGACCCTGCCACCGGGGCCTTCGGAGCTCCCTCTGGAGCCACGAAGCGCTGTGCTGGGTGGGGGAGACGCCAACCGTGCCACTGGGGCCTTCGGTGTAGTTCACCCTTTGGGGACACGAATCGTGTGAGGGGTGCGCCGGTACAGGGACATGTGGAGGGCAAGGATGAGAGGAGGGAGGAGGGCGAGGAGGAGAGGAGGAGACGCGGGGCACTGTCTCTTCAAAACGAGGACCCAACAACACTCGACGGTTGGGAATCATAGGCAACGAAGGGAGGTAAACAATATTTGATCTTACGAAATGAGGATTCGACATCGTCGTCGTGGTCGTCATCGTCATCATCGTCAACATCATCAGCATCACCATCCACATCATCATCCACATCATCATCAGCATCATCATGACCATGATCATCATCATCACCAGCATTGTCATCGTAGCATCAACATCATCATCATCATCATCAGCATCATCACTAACATCATCATCATCATCATCAACATCGGCATCATCATCATAACACCGCCATAATCATCATCATCACCATCGTCATCGATATCGACATCGGCAGTGGCATCGGCATCGCCATCGTACTCATCCTCACCATCGTATCATCATCAACCTAGTCGTTCTCGTCATCAGCATCCTCATCACCATCACCACCGCCATCATCATCATCATCATCATTACCATCATCATCATCAGCAGCATCATAATCCGCATCATCGTCGCCATCAGCATCCTCTTCATCATCATCACCAGCAACATCATCAGCATAATCATCATCATTGTCGACGTCGTCGTCGTCATCGTCAACATCATCATCATCATCATACTCATCATTGTCGACGTCGTCGTCGTGGTCGTCGTCATCGTCATCGTCATCATCGTCATCGTCATCGCCATCGGCATCGTCATCATGTGCATCGTCCCCATCATCTTCAACATCGTCACCCTCATCATCGTCATCACCATCAGCATCATCATCCTCATCATCTCGATAATCAACATACCATCATATGTCATTATGGCACCCCTCGCCCCCGCCAAAATGTTACAAAGCATGTCATCATGACCATCAGCAGCAACAACATCACCACCACTAACATCATCATATTCCTCCTCCTCCTCCTCCCCTGTGTAATCATGAACGAATCATCATCGTCGTCATCATCATCACGAAAATGACCAGCATCATCCTCATTCGAGGCATCATCAGAATCGACGGCGTCGACGTCTTCGTCGTCGTCATCGTCGCCTTCATGTATCACATGTATCATCATCACCACCAGTATCGTCATCATCAACGGCAGCATCATCAATCGGCAGCAGCAACGTCATCGTACCAAATCGACGGACCAATTACCTTCAGCCCATGTGCGAACACCACACGCAGACAGGAAGCACCCACGTCAAGAGTCCTGCAAACGCGTTCCGCTGCATCACTGCACAGCGAGGCACCAACCCGCATCTACGGAGCCTGGAGAGCGAAAAACGCACCTTCAAAATAAGCACCACGACGAGCGAAGCCGTTTATTCAAAGTACCCACGCAAGGAATCGAACAGGGCAGGGCGGTTTAGCAAACGCCGAGGGCCGCTTTACGAATGCCAATTTGGGGGTCGGAGTGGCCACTCCTCCCTTGAAGGCAATCGGTGGAACACTCCATGTGTCAGCAGAGACCGGGAAAACGAAAGCTCGCGATGCCACACATCTTCCCCCTTTCGCAGTTCCAAGTCGCAAGAGAGCATGCGGCAGCACTGAACCCATGTTCGTTCACTTAATCATGATCGAGCTTCGCTTCTCTTCCATTTGCTTCTCTCCCATTGCAAAAAGAACACGTCTCCCCGCTGTGGGTCTTGTAGGCGGCCTCGGTATGCAATCGCAGCCACGCCATGCAACTCGACACCATATCCGCATCCATGGGTCGGAATGCCACTTGCATCGACAACAGCTCATGGTGTGAACGCGTGTCTCCTGGTTAGCTGTAGAATAGTGCCACACGATTTAGATATCGAACAGAACTCCTGTTAGGCCCCAGTTCCGCTTAGATGTACCAATGCGGAGCCCCCGAAGAACAGATGGATGGTTCTGAGGAACGCGGAGCAGCTTCCGAACAAGCATTGCCAATACTCCGACGCCTTGGCTGCATGATCAGGAAAATGCGCTGACCATGCGTCTAGGCGGGTTGCCTGATCATGCACCCATAAACATACCCTCCTTGCGGCTCCACTGACTTGGGCAACTGCTCCGCTGGCACACTCGTGCGCGTGCTAAATGAAAGGCCAGTTAGTTGTCATAGCATCGTAGGCTCGCGACGACCCCGGGGGTCTGTACCAAAAGTAGCCTTCAGGACTCGGCACCAAGACGTATCTACCCCAAATGGAAAGCGACCGCAGCCACTGGACAAGAGGAAGGGGAGAAGAGGGATGATGACAACATTAGAGGAAAGAGAACCATGCACATACACCGACTCTGGCCAGGCCCATGCTGAGCCCAGGATCGGTGCATACGCCCTCTACCTTGGCCAGGAAGGTATATGCACCGATCCTGGGTCAAGGATGGGGCTTGCCACGATCGGTGCATGTGTATAGTTCTCTTCGCCCGAAAAATGAAACAATATGGTCGCAAAGCATGTTTACAGTCCACTCTACTGCTGTTGCTTCGGAGTGGAACGCCGATCGTCTGCTCGTGATCTCTCGCGCACCGCGCCCTGCCTCTCGACGGCCTCCGGCCCCTCGATGTTGTGCACCGCTGTGCCCAGAACAGCCGACCCGCATCCACGCTCAAGTCGGGCCTGTCCCCCTACAGGGGGATTTTCGACGAAACACAAAAGAATACACCAAAAATGCACCAAAAAGGTAAAACAAATGCTCAAAAAATAGTCCCCAGGCTATGTTTGGATTATTTTGGGGGTATCTTGTATTCTTCGTCGAAAATACCCCTGTAGGGGGACAGGCCCGACTCAACTCTACTGCTGTTGCTTCGGAGTGGAACGCCGATCCTCTGCTCGTGACTTCTCGCGCAGCGCGCCCTGCCTCGACGGCCTCCGGCCCCCCGATGCCGCACACCGCCGTGCCCAGAACAGCCGACCCGCATCCACGCTCATGTCGGGGGTGTCCCCCTACAGGGGGATCTTCGACGAAAAATAAGAGATCCCCCAAAAATACTCCAAAAAGGTCCAAGAATACTCAAAAAATAATCCCTGGACCATTTTTCGTTATTTTTGAAATTTTTGTGGCATTTTGTTTTATTTCTCGTCGAAAAACCCCCTGTAGGGGGACAGGCCCGACTTTAATCTCCGCAATCCGCCGTCGACGCCTCTTCTTGACTCACCCGGTGTCGAAAAACTGGGGGGGCGGGCGTAACAAGGGGGGCACAGACCCCCAGGGAGTTTTCGGCGGTGGTCTCGTCGGTTCCTGGGTGTCTTCCTGCCTCGGCCGGGGCTCGGAGCGGCGGCCAGTGCCCAGAGGTCGAAGGTCAGTCGTGTGCCCCCCCCCCCCCCCTCCTCCTCCTCCTCCTCCTCCTCTCCTCCTCCTCCTCCTCCTCCTCCTCCTCCTCCTCCTCCTCCTCCTCCTCCTCCTCCTCCCTCCTCCTCCCTCCTCCTCCCCCTCCCCCTCCTCCTCCTGAACAAATAAACTGTCGTAGCTCCGCGCGGACTCCTTGGACTGGCGCGGGAGCCCCCTCCCCGGCGCGCGGCGCGCACCCGCCGCCAGGGGTGGCCCAGCGCCGATGCACGGCATCCGCGGAGGGGAGGTCCGCAGATTTGTGTGGCTGCCGCTTTTGAGGGGGCCCTGGGGCACACAAAGAAATACACACAGATCACAAGATCCCCCACACTTTCCCATCTCTTCTGGGTTTTCTGTCTTCCCCCGCACTGCCCAGATTTCCCCATATTTTCAAGGAGATCGACGACTGACCTGTGTCCGTGTGTTCTGCTTCCCCTCCTGAGCTTTCCCTTCCGCGAATCCATGAATCAACCCTGACCTGCGGGACCCCAGCGTCCGACCTCGCGAGGGGCGGCGAGCGGACTGGCTCGCATCTGGACTCCTGCCCAGCACACGCTGCTCCTGCCCCGTCCAAAAGCCACCGAACAAAGGAGCGACGAAAACCAACGGGCTTCATGCACGATGGCATCGCGACCTGACGCGGTGGCATACTCGGGCCGCCGGCCCGGCACGCTAGATTGGAAGCGAGGGCACTTCGGAACGACCATGGGCGGGCAGCTTACGTGCGACTGTCCGCGCAGCTGGGCCCGCTTCGGTTACTTCTGCAACTCACTGCAACTCAAACTGCCCCCGTAGTGGACCCCGGAAACGGCAGGGCTGTTTTTCACCGTTTCCCAAAAAAATGTCCCTTCAACATGGAAACGGCAAAAAAACGGCAACCGGAAACGGCAACAAAAACGGCTCCAGGATTGGAACCGGAACGGGAACCCGTAAAAGAACGGCGACGGAACCGGTAAAAGAACGGCGTCGGAACTGGTAAAAAAAACGGCAAAGCGGAACCGGTAACAAAAACGGCCCTGTCGTTTCCTAGGGGAACAGAAAGTGGCATTCGCTGGCCCAACGGGCCAGAGGCGTGCTAAGATCTCCGGTAACTGGTTAACAATTCTCTAGTTCGCGCGCGGGGCGGCCCCTGGGGGTCCCCGGACGAAAAGTACCCCGGGCGATCCCCGACCGATCCCCGGGAGACTCCCCCAGAGCGCTCCAGGAGCGCTCCATGAGCGCACCAACAGGGCTCCGAGACGTCCCCGAGAGCCCCAAGAAAGGCCAAGAGGCCCCCAAGAGGCCCCCAAGATGGTACACGAGGGGTCCGACATGCCACAAGATCGCTCCAAGACGCCCAAGATAGCCCCCAGACGCCCCAAGAGGCCTCCAAGAGCACTCCCAAGAGGGCCCCCGGAGGCAAAATTCATTGTTTTTCCTAGGTTTTTGAGAGATTTTGGAGCTTCCACCTTTTCGGCTTCCCGACGCCCCAAGACGGCCCAAGAGGCCCCCAAGATCGCCCCAAGAGGGCCCAAGAGGCCCCCAAGAGGGCCCCAAGATGGCCCAAGAGGGCTCGAAGACGGCCCAAGAAGCCTCCAAGACGGTCCAAGAGGGCCCCAAGAACGCCCCCAAAGGGGCCCCAGAGAGGGAACACGAAACAACATTTCGAGCCCTCGGCCCTAAGAAGCCCCTACGAGGCCCCAAGAGGCCCCTAAGAGGCCCCAAGAGGCCCCCACGAGGCCCTCAGGAGGCCCCCAAGAGTCCCCCAAGCGGCCCCAGGAGGCCCCCCAAATGCCCCCCCGAGCGCCCCAGGAGTCCCCCAAGCGGCCCCAGGAACCCCCAAAGCGCCGCATTGACACCAGGCCCTCGGGCAAACGGCAGACATGAGACTGTATGGGCCGGCGGAATGAGCGAAGCGATTAAATAAACACAAAAACTCGGAGGTCTGCGCAGATTTCTCGGATCGACGCTGGACTCCCCTCCCTGGCGCGCTCCGCGCGCCAGGGGCGGCGCCGGAGGCGCCGCCAGGGGGCCCCAGCGCCGATCCGAGAAATCCGCGCAGACCTCCGAGTTTTTATGTTTATGCCACTTTTTGTTCCCCCATTTCCAGGGCCCCACGACGCTGGGCCGAAGACCGCGGGGCAAACTCGGGGGTGCCGCGCGAGAGGCCAGCGAGGGCGCACGCGCCGACGCCGGACGCCCGCCCCCGCACGCAAGGGAGAGGCACGGGGCCGCGACGGGGCCACGGGGCACGGAGAGGGTCGACACTCTTCGGCCCCGCCGCGTCGACAGCAGCCAGGGCCGACACTGCCGGCGGCTGGCCATCTCTGCGCTGCACAGGCGAGGCGGATCTCTGGAGGCCTCCCAGATGGGGTCCGAACAGATGGGGTCGAAGGGTCGCGCCGCATCGCCAATGCATCGCCGATGCATCGGCGATGCATCGGTGCCGTCGGGCCACGGGGCACGGAAAGGGTCAACACTTCGGCCCCGCCTCGTCGACAGCAGCCAGGGCCGACACTTCTGGCGGCTGGCCAACTCTGCGCTGCACAGGCGAGGCGGATCACTGCGAGAAGGCTGCAAGGGCTCCCAGCTTCGCGCGTCGCGCTGCGCGGAGCGCGGAGTGCGAATGACTTCGCGCTCTCGCGCCGCCTCCCACGGAAGAAGAGGAGGATGAGGAGGAATCGGAGCCGAACGGCGAAGCGCGAATAACTTCGCGCCCTCGAGGGCGCCCTTGAGGCTGAGAGCGAACGACGGGTGGGGGTGGGGGGGAGTGGGCTCAGGGCGGGAAGCATCGAGCAGGAAACGGCGCTGCAGGCCCGCCAAATGGCGAAACCGCACGCGCCTGGGCAGGGAGGGCTGCAGGGCTCCCGTCGGCGACGAATGGGCGATCGTGACGACGTATCCCTCGGGGGCGACCAAGAGGGGGGGCGTCCAGGAGGGGGGGGGGCGCAAATCAAAGGGGGGGTCGGGGACGCAATGAGATCGAAGAAGAGGCGCCGTGAAAATCCGGGGAAATATCATGGTCCCCGCCATGAGATCCACCCCCCCGTAGTCTTAAGTCGGGCCTGTCCCCCTGCAGGAGGATTTTCGACGAAAAATACCCCAAACATAATCAAAACAAATCCAAAAATAGTCTGGAGACTATTTGTGGTGCCCAAAGCTGTCCAAAAGGGCCCCCAGAAGGGCCCAAGACGGCCGAAGAGGCCCCAAAGATCATCCCAAGACGGCCCCAGAGGCGCCCAAAAGGGACCCAAAACGGCCCAAGATGGCCCCCACACGGCCCCAATACGGCCAAGAGGGCCCCGAGGGCCCTAGAGAGCCCAAGAGGGCCTCAATATGCTCCCCAGCGCCCGAAGAGGAGGAGGGGGAGGGGGAGGGGGGG